CAAACCAATCATTCTATCATTAGGGAAACTAAACCAATACAGATAAACCATTTGGAAACCCAGGACTGGTGCCCTGGTCTTTAGACTCCTGGATTGTTATTTTTGCTTGGCTTTGGGCTGCTGTATTAGTTATCCACTGCTGTGTAACAAAGGATCCCCAAACGCACTGGCTTGATAGAGCAATGTTTATGATCTTTCAGTGTCTGCAGATTGGGAACCCTGGCAGGTTTTAGCTGGATCTTCTGCCCTGGGGGTCTCTTACAGTCTGCAACTAAGGTGTCCCCCAAGGTTGCAGACACATCCACTTTGACCTCAGGCTTGGAAACTGCTCCCTCAGGATACTTAAGACCTAACCTAACCTTGGAAGTAACATTTGTCATGTAGTCTGTTTCCAGCCAACCCAGAGAGGGAAGTTATTCCAGAAGGTGTATTAGCTACTTTTCTGTTGCTGTGATGAAATACTAGGACCAAAAGAGGCTTATAGAAGAATGAATTTTTTGGGGTTTATAGTTCCAGAGGGGAAGTCCATAATGGTGGGGGAGACATGGTGACAGGGGACTGGAGCAGGAAGCTGAAGGTCACATTTTTATCTACACACAAGAAACAGGGAAAGCAAACTGCAAGTGGGGTGAGGCTCTAAACTCTCAAAGTCTGTCCTTATGATGTACTTTCTCCAGCAAAGCTTCATGTCCTAAAAGTTCCATGACCTCCAAAAACATGGCCATCAAGTGTTCGAATACATGAGCCAATGGAAGACATTCCTCATTCAAACTACCACAGTGAGCGACTGGCAGAGGGATCCTGGGGAACCATCTTGGACATGACCAGCCACCACAGAGAAGCCAAAGGTCCTTTATTCTCAATGCTGAATAATCTCAGACATTGTTAAAATTAGGACTCCTGGGCCTGGCTCCTAGACCTTCTATTTAGGGAAATCTGAGGTAGGTACCCAAGACCTGGGCTTCTTGCAGCCTGCCAGTCCCTGACTCAGGAGACGAAGGAGAAATGTGTCCATGTCACAGGCTCTGGGTCCATTCAGCCACGCTTCTGTGTGAGGACTTAGTGGTTTCCATGAGCTCCATGTTTGTCCCTAGATTCTTGTGTTAAGAATTTGTGTCAGTTTCATTTGTGTTGCTGTGATGAAATATCCCGACCAAAGCAACTTAGGGAGAAAGGATTTATTTGGCTTCAATTCCAGGTTCCAGTCCATCATTGTGGGGAAGTCACAGCAGCAGGAGCTTGACACAGCTGGTCACATTACATCCATGGTCAAGAACAGAGAGAATTAAGAATATGTGTGCTTGTAGTGCTGAGATCACTCTCTCCTCTTGCACAGTCCAGCGCCCCAAGCCATGGAATAGCCCACCCACTTACAGGCTGGGTCTTCCCACATCATAGGCAATCAAGACGACCCCTTCAGACACACCCACAGGCCAGCCTGATCTACTCAATCCCTTGTTCAGACTCTCTTCCCACGTGATTCTAGGTTGTGTCAAGTTGATAACTGAAACCAACCATCACAAAATCCTAACCCACAAGGTGGTGGTGCAGGAGATGCGTCTTTGAGAGGCAGTTAGGCTGTGAGGATGGGGCCCTCATGAGTGGGGTCAGTGCCCTTATAAAAAGAATAGTTTGTGTTCAGCGATTCTGATTGCCCTCGTCTGCTTGAAATTGAAGTAGGCTACAGACTTTGAGAAAATAATTTTATTTTTAGGGGGTTCTGTAGGACCAGCCTTGATCCTCTGACTACTCACACATTGTTGGGTCTCTAGAGATTATTTTAGTTGAACTCTCAAAGTAGATTCTCCTACATTTTAAGTTCAAAGAGACATAGAAGAGTATACAAGATCAGCCAGTAAAGTGGTGGTACACCCTGTGACCAATACATTAAGGCCTCTGGTTCTAGTTTCTTTTAATGTAGCTATTACAACATCCAGAATTGGGTGCTTATTACTGTTGACAGTGACAATGATGACGAAATCATTACAGCATGTATTAGAAGGGAAGGGGAACTAGGGCGTGTGGATCTTTTATTCAGAAAAATAAAAATTACATCATAGAACTTGAGGTAAAATGAGATTATCTAACATCCTGAAAAAGACAGTACAGGACCTTGCTTGACCAGTCTAGTGACCCCAGTCCTCCAGGAGCTGCCAGAGCAGTCAGAGGGGAGGGAGAACAAAAGCCTCAGCTCTGGGAAATATTCAATAGCGTCCTATTTTTCAACTGGTGTACTTTTAGTAGATTTGAAAGCTGGTAGTTTCTCTATGAAGAAATAAAAGAGTATCAAGTAGAAAAAAAATTAGAAAAAAAATAAAAAGAACCATAGACCCTGCTTGTCACTGGAGACATAGGGGGAAGATATCTTTCACGAGGAAGCCCGTGACAGATACCAAATGTGCCACTGTCTGCAACTGAAATCTCCCAGTTTCCCTAACTGTGCCAACTGAACCAGCTCCTATTCCTATAATGGAATTATTGAGTTCCTAAAAGGTAATGTTCATGGACTTTTGTCCTATCCTATAAAATTCTTGCCAGATTTCATACCATCACCCATGTATAAGAGCCTGTAGCTTCAGTCTTGTTAATGAAGCAAGGTTTTATTGCTTTAAATTTTGCCAAAGACCGTTGAGAAATGGTGTCAGTGTTTGTTTTTATTATTTATTTATTTATTTATTTGTTTATTTATTATTTATTTAGTTTTTGAGACAGAGTCTCACTATGTAGCTCCAGCTGGCCTGGAACTCTATGTATACCAGGCTGGCCTTGTATTCACAGAGATCTGCTTGCCTCTGCCTCCCAATTGCCAGGATTTAAAGTTACTGCTACCACATGCAATCTTTTTGTTACTTTTGGAATAGGGTCTCACTAAATAGCCCAGATGGGCCTTGACCTTGAGATACTCCTGCCTCAGCCACCCGAATGCTGGTGGAAGTGCTTGTTGTGGGTCTCCATGAAGTAAAACACTGGCTTTAAGGACACTATGATCTATATTTATATACATGTAGTTTAGCAGGTTAAGAAGTTGTTTAATGGACTGGAAAGATGACTTAGTGGATAAGAGCACTTGCTGTTCTTGCAGAAGACTCAAGTTCAATTCCCAGCACTCATCTCAGGGGCTCACAACTGCCTGTAACTCTAGCTCCAGGGAATCTGGTACCTCTGGTCTCCATGGGCACCTGCACTCTTGTACACATACCCACACACAGACACACATGTGTACACATAATTAAAAAAACAAAAAAGTTGCATATTGGTTTCTATTTTTTTGTATTTTAAATTGTGTGTGTGTGTGTGTGTGTGTGTGTGTGTGTGTGTGTGTACCCATCTTTGCGATATGTGTGTACATGCCTGCTCTATCACTCTCTGCCTTATTCACTTGAGACAGGGTCTCTTACTGAAATTTGAGCTAGGCTGGCAGCCAGCAAGGCCAGGTGATCCTCCTCTCTCTGCTCCCCACAAAGCTGGGGTCATGGCCCATGCAGCCATGCCTGGTTTTTTATATGGGTTTTGGGGGTCCGAACTAGGTTCTCATGCTTGTGTGGTAAGTACTTAACCTGCTAAGCTGTCTCCCCAGGCCTTCCTTTTGCTTTACGTGGGTGATGGTGATCCCATTTGGGGCCTCGTGCTTGTGCAGCTTGTGCATGCTTTTCCTACTGCGCATCTCCCCTGACCCTGTCACTGTGGTTTTGAGCCTTGTCTATCACCTGCCTGTCACTGGACACGTGAGTGTCAGATGGCCTTCATTTTCCCCTGTGGGACTCAGTGTTCTGTGTTTTTGCGCTTCCAGCTACACCGCAAACTGTGTGGCTGGGGATGGAACTGCACAGTGTGCCTTGTCTTGATTCCTACCTTTGTATCCAGCTTGAGGCTGCATCTAGAAGGATCTAGGAAGCAGCTGTATGCTGAGAGGATATGGACCTGGGACCAGGGTTTTGTTTTCCAGTCTCAGCTCAGCCTTTTCTCTCTCTTTTGCCCTTAGAACAATGACACATTCACCCTCTTGGATGCCTGTGACTGTCCCCCTGCTTACTTCAAGTTCTTACACTCCCTGGAGTTGACAGATGCTACAGTTTAAGAACAAGACTCCCAGAAACTCTGCTACTTCAGACACTAGCCACAAGTGGGAGTCTCCAGGATATCCACACCCCTGTTGAAGTTGGGGCAGATTTGGGGCGTTCCCATGACCCCTAGGGCAACTGACAGAGATCAGGAGGGGACTGTACTCGCAGCACCATTTATTATAAAGAATATAGATGAGCAAGCAGAGGGGATAGGCAGTGTGAAGGAGGGGAGGGGCTGGAGCCCCCATGATGATCAGATTCTGACTTCAAGATACAGTGGGCTGTGCACTAGTGGGGAAGACTGAACCTCATTATCCAGTTATTATTGGCATCTTATCACATAGGGATGTCTGACTCAATCATTGGCCATGGTGTTATCTCTGCCTCTGGCCCCCTTTCCTCCCTACAGAAGAGGGCAGGACTCACGTCCTGACCCTCTAATCCCATGCTTGGGATTTCTGGTTTGGCTAGTTCCTCCCTTAAGGGCCCACCATCAGTGGGTTACCTCAGTAGCTTCAGTTCAGAAATGGTTGAAAGAGTCTCATTATAAATGCAGAAGATGCTTTGATCAGGAAATTGCACGAGGCCGGTTACGTCCTTTCCTGTACCACAGCTGGCACTGCACACAGGGAACAGCTTTAAGCATCTGTGACGCTAAAGCCTAGGAAGGCAAGAAGATACTCTGGGGTCAGGGGCTCAGGCAGCTGAGAAGGTATAGCTGATAAAGGAATGTGAGTGGAGGGAGAGGGTTGGCTGGCTGCTGGGTGGGCCACCACTGCATCCACAGGGGCAGGGGCAGCTTGTGGACGGAGGGAAAGAGACAGGCGAGGGTGAAGTAGAAGAATGTGAGAGCTAGCTGGGAGTGACGGGAATGAAAGACATGTGAGGGGCTTGACCTTGGAGCTGCAGGGAGGGAGAGTCCTTCTGAAGACCTGAAGAAAACGAGAGAAGACGGGATGGGCAGAAAAATGGGGCCCAGAACATTGGATGAGGCACAGAACAGTCTTTCAAGGTGGGTCACTTGCACAGAGGAGGTCCACGAGGTGAGACACCAGGAAGGATCTGCAGTCTTGACTTCAAGCAGAGTCCAGGAGTGTGGGAGCAGAGGTGGAACCCAGCACAGGAGGGATGGACCCGGGTTCCCTATTACAACATGGACTGAGTCTTTAAGCAATCATCATATAACATTAGACGTTTCTGTCACTGCCATCCCAGGATTGAATGGCTCCTGAGAATACCCCACTGACAGTGGGACAGATCCCAGCTCCACAACTTCCTGGTGTTTGCATTTCCTGGAAAGAAAGAGACAGAAAAGGACAGTGTTTCCTAAATGATGACAACTACTGGTTAAAAGATTCTAGGAAGCATATTTGGGAAACTGTGACCAGAGACACTTTAAAAAACCCTACTTGTTGTCACTATAAATCTCTCATGAGAGCTGAGCCTACAGTGAAAGTGGGGTGTCCCCTGAAGAGGGGGGTCTCACCTGGGGCCCATCTTCTCACCAGAAGACAAACCACAATGTCCCAGGAGAGTTTTGAATTGTTCTCATTGAGGGAACATCTAGTAGGTAGAGACTGGAACAGTGTTCAGCCTCCTGCAAGGCACAGCACAGCCATATCGGCTTAACTCCAATGTCAACAATGCCAGGTGGGGGCAGGAAGAAGAGCCCAGCCTAGCTGTGTGTGGCAGCAGAGTCTGGAGGGCCATACATGTGTGTCAATTTCACCCCTTTGCTGGGTAGCTGCTTTCCAGTTATGAGAGGCCACGTGACAATTCTAGGCACTGACATATAAGAGAAAGGTTAATGAAGCTTCTAATCTAATCTCCATGTTCCCCTTCCCCTTTTCCCGTGTGTGTGTGTGTGTGTGTGTGTGTGTGTGTGTGGTGTGCACATGTGTTCTGCATGTGTGTGTACCTGCACATGCATGTGGACACCCCGGATTGATATCAGGAATAATTCTCAGTCGCTCTTCTGCCTTATTCAAAGGAAGCACACTCTGTTAATCAAACCCAGAGCTCACTGATATGGCTAACTTTGCCAACCAGCTTGCTCTGGAGATCCCCTATCTTCACCTTCCAAGGCTGGTCTTACAAACAGGCCACCACACCCACCTGGCATTTGTGTAGGTTCTGGGGATCTGGTCCTTACATGTATACTGCAAGTGTTTTAAGCCCCGACCATCTCCCCAGTGTGTGCACCCTGATCCTGATCCTTGGTGGTCTTTTTTCTTCCTGGTTGGTGACCCTGCCGTGTGCAGGTGTCCCTGATGTGTTCAGAGTCATGAGTGCTAAAATCAACCAGAGGACAGACCCAGGTAAAAGCCAGAAAGAGCAGTATCCCCACTTCAAGGGGACTTTTGACAGCGTCTGCAGGTGTTTTTGATTGGGGGCATGGGTGATGCTGACATCGGGGGGTGGGGTGCGGAGAGCAGGGGTGCTGCTTGGTGTCCTGACTGCACCACCCCACAAAAGATGGAAGCACAAGCCAGTCTCAGCATCAGGCTGAGGCCAAGGTGGATCCCTACCGGAGAGAGCACTTCTGGCCGAGTTACCGTCTCTGGGTACCTGTGACGGGGGATAGGGAAGAGGACATGGCAGATTCAACTCCAGTGAGATCGGTTTTTGGTTCTTGGGCATGCAGCTATTCCTAGTTTCTACAATGGAGTTCTTTGATTCAAGCCTGTTATAGGGCCACCCAGTTTTTTCAGAGCATGCTTATTGGCACTTTCCATGGCTGTGCGATGCCTCTGCTGCCTCTGCAGTCCACTTCGAAGCAGGGAGACGACAGCCACTCCTTAGCTTCCTTTGCTAGAAGATGCCAACACCAGCGGTCACCTCCTCCCACATCACCAGTGGGGTCTGCTGGGTCCAGAATCACAGGCCTAAAGGAGAAGTTAGAGGGTTAGAGGACTGGTCTCCAAACCTCAGAACTGGTGACATGCTGTCCTGACAATCTAGGTGTTAGTAATTCCAATCTATGAAGGATTCAAAGTAGCTTCCTAGAATTGTTATATTTGAAAAGCATTTTGAAAGCTGTTATTTACCTAGCACATGAAAAACATATTGTAACCATGCCTTTCAAGAGAAGCTCACTGAAGGGGCTGGAGAGATGGCTCAGTGACTAAGAGCACTGGTTGCTTTTGCCTAGGATCAGGGTTCGGTTCTCAGCTCCAACATGGCAGCTAACAACTTAACGTAACTCCAGTTTCAAGGGATCTGATGCTCTTTCTGACCTCCTCAGGCATTGCACACAATGTGGTACACTTACAGACATGCAGGCAAAACACTCAAACACATAAAATAAAAAACAAATTAAAAGAAAGAGGGATTCGTTGAAATGTATCGTGTCACAGTGTGTTGTGTGATACAGTGTTGCTAAGCGGGCCACAGCCCTGCAGCCCACTGTTCTCTCGCTGATCCTGTTTGTTCGCATTGCTCCTTCACTTTCCCTCCCTCTTTTCCTGTCTTCCATCGTCTTTGTTGCTTCCTCCTGCTATTGCATGTATGCCGAGATCTCTTGCTATTAAAATATAAATCTTTCTGAGCTATGGTCTTGCTTATATAGACAAGACTAGCCTCTAATTCAAGATCCTCCTGCCTTAGTCTCCTAAGTGCTGGGATGACTGATACATGCCCCCATGCCTAGCTTCATTATTCTTTTGGTTCTGAGAGATAAAACCTGATCTGGTAAAAATGCTAATAATAAGGCTGGTGAGATGTTTCAGTGAGTAAGGATGCTTGTCGCCAAGCCTGATGACCTGAGCTGGAGCCTCTGGACCCATATGGTATAGAAGGGGAGAACTGACATCCACAACAACAAACTTGTTCTCTGACCTCCACACACTTGCTGTGGTATGCATACATGTGCACACACACACACACACACACACACAAAATAAATAAATGTTAAAAATGCTAATAAAATGGTGTGGGAATGGTGGTGGTGTTTCTCAGGGAAATCTCCCCTTGTCAAAACGCTTTTAGACCTGATGATAAGATGTGCAGATGTTTCCAGAAGGATAAAGCAGCCCAGGGACCCTCTGCCTCGGCCCCTGCTCCTGTGTTCCCCTGGCACTGTCCTGACTCTTCCTAGGGTTTTTTTTTTAACCCCTGGAGATCTGAACTCTGCTCACCCAGCATCTCTTCCCTTAGTTTCATGTTGGATGAAGAGGACCTCAGGAGAGGAGCATCCAGGTCATTGAAATGGCATGGATCAGGTTAATTAAGAAGGGGGATGGGATGCAGACACCTGGTTTTCTGGATCTGGGTCAATAGGAATGTCCTCACTGGCTCATCTTTGAAATTGTAGTTGATGGTCCAGAAGATGCAGAGCTGCTGGTACTTTGTGACCAGATCCAGGATGGCCCGGAAGCCTTCAGCTATGTCGAAATCAGACACGCCACTGCCCTGCTCCCAGGCATACACTGTGAGCAGCTCCAAGGCATACTTCGGGGGCAAAGATGCCTTTGGCTTTATTTTTCTTTCACACTGAGGGAACAGTGGGGATGTTAGGTGACCTTAGTGAGGCAGAAGTGAGAGTCACATGGGCTGCTGGGCGGCAACTACATAGTGACACAGTTCATCAAGGAGGTAGAGTCTAAGTTCTAGCAGCTGGCTGAGCAGCCCACATGGCTCTGGCATTTGGCCAGCTAAGCCTTCCTGGGATAACATAGCCATTGCTGGAACCCTCTGCATGCTAGTTATGGGTCCAGCACCACTCAGACCCAGGGCAGGCCTTAAGGTAATCATTTCAGAGGGAGATGGGAGGCTGGGGGAATGAAGTGACTTGCTTAAGGTCAAACCAGAGCCCCCAAGCCCTCAGCCACTCATGGTGACTCCAGCCTCCACAGAGGCGTCAAGCTGCCTTTGGAGAGACAGTGTGGTATCTGTGAATGACAGCAGTTAAACAGCTGGGCTGGCAACCTGTGGCATGCCAGCCTAACTTCCATCTACCCATCTTGAGAAAATTTAGATACTGCTCAATTCTTTGGCTAGTGTGAGGGCAAAATAAGCCACCTATTGTAATGGCTTTGATGCTAGGAGGCCCCGTAGGCCTGACCCAAATGACAGGCATGGTGGAAACTCCACGCAGACTCAGGGATTAAGGGGTACCAGTTTCCCTGCAGTGGCCAGGCCCTCAGCATGGAGGATTTAAGTACTCAGGACACTTAACAGGGCTTGGCTGTCTGTCCCATCTTACTGGTAAAAACAGCCAAATTTCAAGAGAAGGGGCTGGCAAACCTGTTTGTGCCAGTGCTTCACCAGGCGAATCAGATCCTTCAGTTTGGTGGTCCGGGTTTTAATGAAGTTCCACTGCAGCTCCGTGAAACAGGTAGAAAATTCTCCTCCGAGGATGTCCTGGGAGTTATACAACTCAATGAGGTCCATGTAGGTTTTGGGTGTGACTGTGAACTTTGAACTCAGTTGACCTAGTGTAGGAGAGAAGTGTCCATTAGATCTTAATGTGTATGGTAGGCAACAGATTAAAAAAAATCTTTTTGAGACACGACTTCATGTAGCCCAGGCTGGGCTTGAACTTGCTATGTAGCCAAGGATGATGTTAAACTTGTGCAATCCTCCTGCCTCTACCTCCCAAGTGCTGGGACTGCAGATGTGCACTACCACATCTGGGAATTGAGCCCAGGGCCTTGAGCACGGTAGGTAAGCACTCTACTAACTGAGCCATACCCCAGCCCTTAAAACTGCTTTAAAAAAAAAAGATTTATGAGGGCTGGAGAGATGGTTCAGTGGTTAAGAGCACTGACTGCTCTTGCAGAGGACCTGGGTTCAATTCCCAGCAGCAGAGGACCCGGTTTCGATTCCCAGCACCCACATGGGGGCTACGAACTGTCCCTAACTCCAGTTCCAAGGGAATCTGAGGCCCTCTTCTGATCTCTGGGGCATTGTACAACATGGGTGCTCTCACATACATGCAGGCAATACACTCATACATATAAAATAAAAATAATAAA